ATATCAAGGTAACTCTTAACCTATTTTGGATAAGCAAATGCATATAAATTATTTTTCTATATGGGGGTTATGGGTGGATGATTGCAGATACACATGCCAAGGACCACATTTGACCTGTTTCTGATAACAATATGAGTATAGTTATTTTTCTGTGTGAGAAATATGGGTGGAATATCATGGTTGACCATGCCTAGCAACACATTTGACCTCTTTCTGATAAGAATATGTGTCACGGTGTAAGGTCAGGTTCAGAGACCAGTTGCTATAGCAGTAAAAGGCTTACCTGGAACCAGCAGGATAGGTACACCAGCGGATCCCCCTGGGAATGACGCAGGCTCACCTGAGGTGCGGGGTCTAAGTATTAACCGGTATTCACCAGAGCTCCTAATGGTGGAGATGGATTGGGCTGCGTGTTAATACCAGGTCGCAGATCTCAGGATCACCACACCAGGGAATGAGCAGACTGGGAACCAATAGTGGATCAACAGGTTAGGGATCAGACGAAAGCAGAGTCGGTCACAAGCCAAGGGTCGGTCACAAATGGTAGCAGATCAATCGTGGTCAGGAAGAAGCCAAAGGTCAGTAGCGGAGGTGTAGACAGCAGCAGGAACAGTAGCAGGAATATTGGCTGGAAAGGCACAATAACCTGGCAAGGAGGAAGTCCAAGGACATGGCTTATATAGGAAGTTCATGGGAGGAGCAAGGAGTTCAAGGTTCAAGAGCAAACAAGGCACAAGGCAGGATTATCCAATAGATGAGGCAAAGTGTTGTCCAGCATCCCAGGTAGCTCAGTGAGTAGAGTTACTGCCTGACACAGTAGAAGTCCCAGGTTCAAGTCCAGGCCCTGACAATATGAGAATAGTTATTTTTCTACATAGGAATTATGGGTGAAATATCATGGCTACACATGCCTAGCAACACATTTGACCTCTTTCTGATAAGAATATGAGAATAGTTATTTTTCTACATAGGAATTATGGGTGGATCATTGCAAAAACGCAATACACCCATAATCACCATGTAGAAAAATAGCTATTCTCATATTTTTATCAGAGACGGGTCAACTGTGTTCCTAGGCATGTGTAGCCATGATATTTCACCCATAATCCCCATACAGATCAATATTAACCACATTATTTTCAGAAATGCATTCATTTTTCCCTCGGCGTTTGTCATTTTTAATTTTCATTTTTTAAATCTTCATTTTCCGTGTTCCTGATAAAACAGTTCTAAATGCAGTGCTTTACACATACATGTACTGTATGAACTCAGTAAATCTATTCCTATGAATATATGGAGTAATGTTTCCATTATTTCTGTATAATTTATTATGATGCCATTCTGCAGCTGCACATATACCAGTAAGTGAAGAGTTAACCTCCCTGGCGGTCTGATTATTTCAGATTTTGGGCGCTGAAAGCGGTACCATTATTTTGCATGGAAATATGTATTTTTTTTTATTGTAGGCTGTAATTTTTAGGAATAACTCACTGAAATCTGTCCGGACAAGAGTCTAGTAAACATCCCGGGGAGGATACAATTTGAAACATGAAATCATAAATTATAATTCAATAAATAATCATAAAAAATAATATAATAATAAATGTAATTCAATAATATAATCAAACCAAAAACACTGAAATGTGAAATATAGCGCCAAGTTCACACATTGCTGAGCTCAGTCGCAGAATCGTTTTCAGTGTCTGATGAGGAATTTCCCCCACCAATCATTATCACTCAATTCTGCAAGTGGTTCTGATTTACTATCGCTGTTCTCTAGCGGTCTAAAACCGCGTCTGACCTAAAGGGACGCTTTTTGGACGCCATGGACGTTTCTCAGTTTCCAGGCAGAAAGGGCGGTAAAAATGCAGGCAGGGCGCCGGACAAAGCACTCGGGACAACATGTATGTGAAATGGTTTGATACAGGAATGTTATACTATGTCATATTCGTTTTTAAAAAAAAAAAAATTTTTTAAAACTTTCAATATTGCCGCCGGGAGCCCGTACATCCCAAAGTCACAGGGACCGAAACACACAGAAGCCGGATGAGATGGCCGGGGACGCTGCAGGGGACACATCGAGGGAGCAAAGGACAAGGTAAGCGCTGCAGGGAATCCCTGAGCAACGCCGCATGGTAAGTCCGAGTGTAGTGGGGGGGGTTACGGCTTTTGGTACTGAAACTCTACCCCGAGCTACACTCGGGAATACCTCCAGGGAGGTTAAACATCGGTCACTACTACCTGTAACATAGTATCCAGCAGTGCAGAAAAGAAAAACATATTCTGAGTAACAACAAAATCATTATCATATATGTGTGTAAAAATATACTGCCCCCTAATGAGAGTGATGAGCATTGCAGCCAAGAATCCCATCATCCCATCGTCCCAATATGCACTTCAGTACGTCCCTCTTGTCATCTCCATCTTCTTTTTTGTTGTTGTCCTTTGCAGTTGTGTTTGCAGAGATTGTATCTAACCAGGGGTGCCAGAGGGGCTGAGGTTGTTCTTGGGGTTGAGGCGCAGGACAGGGAACCCAAATATTGTCAAACGGCTCCTGAGGGGGTGTTACGCTACATATGTAACGCCACATAAATGCTGGAGAAATATTATTACTTCATACAGGAGGTGACTAAATAATAAGCAAACTGTCCAATTTACACAACAGTCTAAAAAGCTTATTAAAGTAGAAGCTCAACTATTTTCCTGGTTCAGATCTGTAAATGACCTCCGGGGGGACGGCAGTGACAACACAAGGAAGTAGAGATTCCAATTCCTGTATGTATGGAGAGATATTACAGAACAGACGCCATCTGTGTAATTACATCCATATGAGCTCTCTTCTCTGAAACGATGCGGTCAATGGGCTAAAGTACCGTCAGCACATCTAGTGAAGGGGTTTTAGGCTTTTTTTTTTTCTCTTACTTTGCAGTTTTTTTATTCCTATATTTTCCAGCTGTTCTAATTTTTGATTCATATAATCTGCATTTTCCCCAATTTTTTTCTAATTTTAATTTCAATTAAAAAAAAATAATTTATACTGTGGATTCTCTTTTGTAATTTTTTTATTGTTTATTTTTCAATTTTGTTATTTTTTTGTTTTATTTTTCAATTTTATTTTTAATTTCTATATTTCATTTTTATTTTATTTTCTATTTATTTATTTTTGCGTTTCTTTGCAATCTCTTATTTTCCTTTACTCTAACTCTACTTTCCTTTTTTTTGTGTTCACTTATCCAAATTTTCTTCTTTTTTTTTTCCCCTTTTGTCTCCATTCATGAACTGATCTATATCGGCTCCAATCTTTCCTCTTCTTTCCTCCTTCTCTGGCAGCTCACCTTCACACTTTGTTTTTTTGCCCAGCTCACCCACTGGTTCCCATGACAAAGGCAAAGTTTTTTTTTTTCTTCCGGTTCCCATGATGCATGCACACAAGGACACACCCACCCGGCGCTAACATGAGTTTCCATGACATTGACAGCCAACCTTGATAATATAGGGACTGAAGAGCACAGTCAATGGACTGCAATGTGCATGCGCCAGCATCATGGGTCACCATGACACCAGTGGCCAGCCTTTTATAACCAAATAGTCCCAGTGCGTGCGCACAATGGGACAGATCATTGGTGGCAGGAGACACACCCTCATGTCTCCCAGCAATGGCCTCCAGCTTTTGACAGGAACGATCGGCCCGCCTGTTCTTTGTTTACACCCGGGGTGATGATCCTTGCTTACAATGTTTAAAGTTTTTTCAGGAATAATTTTACTATACATGTGACCCCACTACACCCCCCCCCCCCCATGCATCATAATATTTGCATATCTGATTACGGTTTTGCAGCATATCCAATAAGGCTCCAAACAACGAGGCTGCTTACATTTTTCTTTATACACTATATTGCCTTCCCACACACATGACCTTTAATGGCCCCCAGTCTTAGTCCGTAGAGTTCAATATTGAGTTGGCCCCGCCCTTTCCACACACATGACCTTTAATGGCCCCCCAGTCTTAGTCCGTAGGGTTCAATATTGAGTTGGCCCCGCCCTTTCCACACACATGACCTTTAATGGCCCCCAGTCTTAGTCCGTAGGGTTCAATATTGAGTTGGCCCCGCCCTTCCCACACACATGACCTTTAATGGCCCCCCAGTCTTAGTCCGTAGGGTTCAATATTGAGTTGGCCCCGCCCTTTGCAGCTATAACAGCTTCAACTCTTCTGGGAAGGCCGTCCACAAGGTTTAGGAGGGTGTCTATGGGAAGGTTGGACCATTCTTCCAGAAGCACATTTGTCAGGTCAGGCACTGATGTCGGGGGAGGAGGCCTGGCTCCCAGACTCCACTCTAATTCATCCCAAAGGTGTTCTATGGGGTTGAGGTCAGGACTCTGTGCAGGCCAGTCAAGTTCCTCAACCCCAAACTGGCTCCTCCATGTCTTTATGGACCTTGCTTTGTGCACTGGTGGGTAGTCATGTTGAAACAGGAAGGGGCCATCCCCAAACTCCTCCCACAAATTGTCCAAAATGTCGCCTTAAGAGTTCCCTTCAGTGAAACTAGGGGGCCAAGCCCAACCCCTGAAAAACAACCCCACACCATAATCCCCCCTCCACCAAACTTTACACTTGGCACAATGCAGTCAGGCAAGTACTGTTCTCCTGGCAACCACCAAACCCAGACACGTCCATTGGATTGCCAGACAGAGAAGCGTGATTGGTCACTCCAGAGAACATGTCTTCACTGCTCTAGAGTCCAGTGGCGGCGTGCTTTACACCATGGCATCCGACGCTTTGCATTGCACTTGGTGATGTAAGGCTTGGATGCAGCTGCTCGGCCATGGAAACCCATTCCATGAAGCTCTCTACGCACTGTTGTTGGGCTCATCTGAAGGCCACACCAAGTTTGGAGGTCTTTAGCTATTGACTCTGCAGACAGTTGGTGACTTCTGCGCACTGTGCGCTTCAGCATGCGCTGACCCCGCCCTGTCATGTGACGTGGCCTACCACTTGGTGGCTGAGTGGCTGTTGTTCCCAGTGGCTTCCACTTTGTTATAATCCCACTAACAGTTGAGCGTGGAATATTTAGTAGCCAGGAAATGTCACGGATGGACTTATTGCCCAGGTGACCACCTATCACGGGACCACGCTTGGAGTCACTGAGCTCCTGAGAGCGGCCCATTCTACACCAATGTTTGTAAAAGCCGTCTGCATGCCTAAAGTGTAAAGGATCCTCCTGCGCTCAATGGAATGATTACTATAATACAGCTGCTGTCACTTAACTAATACCAACAAGTGCAAACAAAAAGAAAAAAATAGTGAAGCGCTTATATCTCATGAATAAATAAAGTGCATTCAAAAAAGAATTAATATAAATCTGATACTCCTGTGTGACAAATCTATATAATGAACACTAATACCTCCCTCTAGTGGCAGAAAAAAATAGTGCAACCGAATGTAATTAAGCTTTAGTGATTCAACACACACTATAAAGAGACTAATTATACCGTGCATATAAAAAACTACAATACATAAACAAATGTGAATAAATTAGTGAATATGAAATTAATTATCCACATAAAATAGTGCCTAATTCATACACATTTCATATACATCATAAGTGAAAAAGAAAAAATGTCCATGCATGTGACTCTGTGCTTTTGGAAAACACACGTGATCTCCACTTCTAGGTGCAAATAATCTCCTCCAAATGGCAGCAATGCCTGCTCACCTCCCCTCCTTGACCCACACAGGGCCCCAAAGCAGTTTCCACCTCAGTGGTGTATCTCCTCTGGCAGACTCCTTATTGCTCCTCCTCTCTTATTCAGACTCATAGAAAGACATAAAACTTTCCATAGTGTAGTATATTTATTAAGAAAGGGTAAAACACCAAAAATAGTTACACTCACATAGTCCTCTTGCTTAACAGGCATTTTTACCACAACCTATGGGTAAATCTGTATGCACTGGGGAATCCATGATTTGGAGGGGATTGGAACACCTGAATCGCATGATATGGAGGGGATTGGAACACCTGAATCACATGATTGGGAGGGGATTGGAACACCTGAATCACATGATTTGGAGGGGATTGGAACACCTGAATCGCATGATATGGAGGGGATTGGAACACCTGAATCACATGATTGGGAGGGGATTGGAACACCTGAATCACATGATTTGGAGGGGATTGGAACACCTGAATCGCATGATTTGGAGGGGATTGGAACACCTGAATCAAATGATTGGGAGGGGATTGGAACATCTGAATCACATGATTTGGAGGGAATTGGAACACCTAAATCAGATGATTGGGAGGGGATTGGAACACCTGAATCACATGATATGGAGGGGATTGGAACACCTGAATCACATGATTTGGAGGGGATTGGAACACCTGAATCACATGATATGGAGGGGATTGGAACACCTGAATCACATGATTTGGAGGGGATTGGAACACCTGAATCACATGATTGGGAGGGGATTGGAACACCTGAATCACATGATTTGGAGGGGATTGGAACACCTGAATCACATGATATGGAGGGGATTGGAACACCTGAATCACATGATATGGAGGGGATTGGAACACCTGAATCACATGATATGGAGGGGGGGACAATACATTTGGTAATATAGTGTATGTTATTAATATCCAGATTTTCAATATCTGCTGAATATTGGAGACCAAAACTGGGAAGTCCAGAATGTCTCCTCTACAAGGTACTCGCTGTTTGCACCGCACATCAATGACAGTTATATTCTTACTGCTGACAGGGAAACCCAATTTCCCATCCACCATAAGGGAAGCAACTCTTGGCTCCCAGCCCTCTCCTGGTCACACCTCCCCTTAGGCTCCTCCCCTGGACTGAAACCGCTTACCCTGATGTCACTGAACACCTTAAGATTTTCACAATGTGCAGTAGAAGCTGCAGCCAATCAGATAGAGCTCCGCCTCATTTCCTGGCTGGAGGACATCCAGCATCATCTAGCGCTTTCCTCTTCAGCCTGACTGTCTTTGGCTCTAGCCTTTTCATTCATTGGATTTCAGTTCTTTCAATCATGGAGACTCAGCATCACATGTGGGAGCTATCATGCAACAGCAGCCTACCTAGGAGCACCCGCCCCTCCAGACTGACACCCGCCCCTCCAGACTGACACCCGCCCCTCCAGACTGACACCCGCCCATCGAGACATTGTCATATTTGCATAACTCCTTCCACTACTTGCATCAGGAATGAGGGCTCTTGTACCGATGGAGGGGGCTGTGATGATTCCAGGAAGCTCTGTATAGCACCCAGCCGGCCCCTCCCACAAAGCCATAATCTGCCTGCACTGCATAGAGAAGCACAGAAGCCCCATACACTCCAAAACAAGCAACAAGAGAATAAAAAGATATTGATGAAAAAGCTGTATCTTCCACATCTGGGCTGGTTGGGAAGGCTTGGATGACCCATGGACATGAAAGGGTCAATGCTTCCTATGCAACCATTCCTTATATCACATTGTCTGTGTTGGTCTCCAAGGTGCCTGTTGTGTTGACTCTTGTATTGTGCAATGGGGAGGAGGAAGAGGAGTTACTAACAAGGAACAGATGTTAAAGGACCCCTCCGTCTTCTCATCTCACCATTACTAGGAGGACCTTCTGAGCTCTGCGAGGGGCTGAGGCTGGAAATACGGAGAAAGATTCAACCAGACTGACAACGCAGAGATCGTAGGTAACAATTGATGGGGGGGGGGGCCTACATGGAATGTGCATGGGGTGATTGGCCTGGAGCGAGTATGCAGATCAGAGAAGTCACAAATCAGCATGATGGCCAGGAAGTTAACATTTCTACAGGGTGGGGTCACCATATACAGAAATCTATATATTGGCACATCACGAGACTCATAACTGATTTTTTTTTTTATTTGTTTATTATAGTTTGCATTAAACGACAGAGAGCACAATTAACATACCGGGAACACAAAATAATGCCCCCAAAGACATAAAACGCACATCGAGACCCATTACTGGATTGGAAAGCAAAACACCTGCTGGGATTCACACGTATGACCCAAATTGTGAAGAAACAGTGTAACAGGTAGGCTTGTCCCAATCCAGACCATTCATCAGGACCAATGGCTATGAAGATACGGAAATGTCCGCCTGCCAGGCTCCGTATATGCCGTGCCTGCTGTGCGTCCAGAACGTGGCGTGGGGATAGTCATTGTTCACAAATAAATATTGATATATGTTGGTGATTGAAGATGTAATCATTATTATTGTGTTTCTCATTTTGTAACTTTCTCTACACATTTCATTTTTCTCTTCCTACCCCATTGGTCCCAATGAAGTCATTCCATTGACATCTGCCTTTGGACAAGCCTACCTACCACACCGTTTATTGACAATTTGTGTAATACGTGTGAATCTATAGAGGTGTGTTGCTTTCCAGTCCAGTGTTGGGTATTGATGTGTTTTATATCTTTGGAGACATTATGTTTTGTTCCCGGGATTTGACTTATCTGTCTTTTCATGCAAACTGTAATAAACGGATAAGAAATAAAATGCGTTCCGTGTGTCGTGATGTGCCAATAAAGTCCGCTGGTTGTTGGTGGCAGAAGGCATTATATACCCTCTCTGATCCATTTTTCGCTAGTTGATATTTGAATGTGGCACTTTGGAAGTCTTTATTGATATACTGCTCATAAAAAAATGAAAGTCACACTTTGTAATCCGAGTCTAGCATCCAGTCCATGAAACTCCTGAGATATTGATCTGGTCAGGAAAGTAGCAGAGCGGGTTGTTCATCAGTTTCAGCTGCTTTGGTGTTAATGAAATGAACAACAGGTGCACTAGATGGGCAACAATGAGACGAACCCCAAAACAGGAATGGTTTTACAGGTGGAGGCCACTGACATTTTTTTCCTACTCATCTTTTCTGATTGCTTTTCACTAGTTTTGCATTTGGCTCGGGTCAGTGTCACTACTGGTAGCATGAAGCAATACCTGGACCCTATAGACAGTCCAACTCCTCCAGGATGGTACATCAACATGTACCATTGCCAGAAGGTTTGCTGTGTCTCCCTGCACAGTCTCAAGAGCATGGAGGAGATTCTAGGAGACAAGATCATGGAGGAGATTCCAGGAGACAAGAGCATGGAGGAGATTCCGGGAGACAGGCAGTTCCTCTAGGAGGCCTGGACAGGGCCGAAGAAGGTCCTTAACCCATCAGCAGGACCGGTATCTGCTCCTTTGTGCAAGGAGGAACAGGATGAGCCCTGCCAGAGCCCTACAAAATGACCCCCAGCAGGCTACTGGTGTGAATGCCTCTGACCAAACTATCAGAAATAGACTTCATGAGGGTGGCCTGAGGGCCCGACAACCTTTAGTGGGCCCTGTGCTCACTGCCCGGCACCAAAGAGTTGGATTGGCATTTGCCATTGAACCCCAGAATTGGCAGATCCACCACTGGCGCCCTGTGCTTTTCATAGATGAGGGCAGGTTCCCCCTGAGCACATGTGACAGACGTGAAAGGGTCTGTAGAAGCCGTGGAGAACGTTCTGCTGCCTGTAACATGGTTCAGCATGACCGTTGTGGTGGTGGGTCAGTGATGGTCTGGGGAGGCATATCCATGGAGAGGACACACAGACCTCTACAGGCTAGACAATGGCACCCTGACTGCCATTAGGTATGGAGATGAGATCCTTGGACCCATTGTCAGACCCTACACTGGTGCAGTGGGTCCTTGGGTCCTCCTGGTGCAGTGGGCCCTGGATTCCTCCTGGTGCATGACAATGCCCGACCTCATGTGATGAAAGTATGCAGGCAGTTCCTGGAGGATGAAGGAATTGATACCATTGAATGGCCCACTGGGATGTCATGTTTCAGTTAATCCACTAGGTTGCACCTCAAACTGTCCAGGAGCTCAGTGATGCCCTGGTCCAGATCTGGGAGGTAATACCTCAGGACACCATCCATTGTCTCATTAGGAGAATTTTAAATAAAGAAAAAAAAAAAAAGAAAACTAAAAGGATTTTTCTTTGTTTTTGTTCTAAAACTTTGCAAATAACCTTTCTTCAGCCATGGGCAGCACAGCCAGGGATAGGACTGGCAACTATCATCTTGGATAAAGTATTAATCTTGGATTAAGTATTGAGCATTGCACTTCGGCTCTACATCATCTGGATAACTCTTCTCTCTCTCATCACGGGTAAATGTCTGTGAGATATATCCATCTGTAATATCGCCCATGCCACGTATGAATGCTAATCCACCCAGCACTGCGATATGGTAATCTATACTGCTTTCAAAATCCACCTATAACTGAAGCTGATTCATTACTATCAATGTTCTTATTGGTAATATTTGCTGCTTCACAAATCTTTAACTCTGGTCCATATTACTGTGGTGTTTATTTTGCTCTTATTGTCTAACCAACATTTTTGAGCTGATCCTAATTTTTACAACTCTGCCCTCCTGCTCTCTTGCTGTCTCTTGTAGTCCTCCTTTGGTGTGAGAAGTTTGCCCTGCTAGCCATGTGTCTCTGCTAAGCAATCCTAATTGATTAATTAGCAATACCCCACCCAACTCTATAAATGTAGGCCTTCCTTAGGGGAGGCACAGCCAGGGGTAGCATTGGCAACTATCATCATGGATGAAGTATTCATCTTGGATCAGGCGCGGACTAACCATTTGGAAACTCGGGCACTGCCCGAGGGCCCGGGGTCAGTAAGGGGCCCCATGAGATGCCCCTGGTACCTTTTTCATAGGCTTCTTTGAGTTTGGGCAAGGACACAGGGGCCGCATGATCCCCTATTGCCCGGGGGCCCCATGAGTTGTCAGTCCGCCCCTGTCTTGGATTAAGTATTGAGAAGTGCACTTTGGAGAATGGACAAACTGAGAAGGCACAGCAAACACCAGCAAAACACTAAACAGACAACAGGTGACATGTTTCCTCATCCAGCTCTTACCCAGTCTGCTTCTTCAGCTCACCACTCTGTAACATGCACTCCCTACTCCTTCTCACAGTTGTATCCTCTCTTCAAACTCTCTCTCCTTCACCCCTCTTCTCCACCCCACAGCTTATATATATCACCCTCACTCCTTTCTTCACCGTATTACTGTACTCATCAACTGCTGCTAATTCTGAACCCACATACTAATAAAACCACCAGGACACTGGAACCTGACCCTCCATATAAGTCATACTCCCATATTACCTCCCTCACCCTTCTGCTTCTCCTAATATCTGGAGACATTTCCCCAAATCTTGAGCCGCCATCTTTTTCCTTTGACCAACAAACCTGGTGCCCCCTATGCTCTAACAGCGGTCACAAACCACACAACCTGATTACAATTCCTCTTCTTCCTAGAACCAGCCTCCCCTTTTCCTGTGCCCTTTGGAATGCCCGCTCTGTCTGTAACAAACTCACCTCTGTCCATGACCTTCTTATCACAAACTTCTTTAACTTGCTTGCAATTACGAAAACCTGGCTTCATGAATCAGACTTTCCCTCTCCTGCTGCCCTCTCCCATGGTGGTCTCTTCTGGACTCTCCCAGGCCTAGTGAACGGAAAAGAGGTGGAGTTGGAATCCTCCTATCCCCTCAGAGCACTTTTCAAGTCCTCCATTCACCTCCCT